ATGCTTGCACTACACACATGACCATGTCATGCCAGGTTCAATCTCAGAGAGTCAGAAAAGTGCCATGGTCCCAAGCACTGGCACTAGGCAGTCACCCAACATCTGAATGCACATGTCATAGAAACAGTTGCCAAATTAGCATTTTAGAAGTAAAACCTGGTCTACGCAACACAACCAATTTACTGGAACAGGATGGTACCACCCTGAAATTTGATTTACAACCAATTTACTTCCAATATACAAATATCCAATAAAAACACTCAGGAAGTACTCTATGTAATTAATAGAAACATCCTTCCTGACCAAACATTTGATACTGGAAAAAGAATATGTATGAGAGTGTCTTTTATGTGTGTACAATTATGTGATTCCCTCATCTTATTCTAAAGTGGCTTAGTTCAAACACTTACAGTGACAGTTATGTCTCAGACATGGCAAAAATGAAGATACGGCTGCATCTCTGCAAGGGTGCTACCTTCTGCCTTAACCCTTTAACTCTCTGATGATACCTCACCACATCACAAAGACCTTTTCGTCCTACCAATGTTTAGCCTATTAAACTGCTGACTCAACAAGTCATTCTCTCATGTGATCTTCCATTTGCATAGCCATGTGGATTTGGGTCATTAATGAGAGCAGATAAATTGGAACTACGCACAAGAACTTTATGCACAGCTTCAAAGATGTTTTATCATCACTATTTTGTTTTTATGTTTTATATTCTTAATGAGCAATTAAAGGCATCACCTATTCCTGTATTTGTATTGCTTCTACAATCATATTGCCTGTTCCTGATTTTTATTAAAATGATACTGCTGAATATAAAGTTTTAAAAGTAATAAATACATCCATACAAATTTTACCTTCTTTATTTTCTCATATTCCATACCCTGTTTCCCTGAAAATAAGACCTAACCTGAAAATAAGCCTTAGTATGATTTTTCAGGATGCTCGTAATATAAGCCCTACCCCAAAAATAAGCCCCAGTTAAGTGGAACCCCGCCCTCCACCACCGTGCAGCAACCAGAAGAAGATGGCATGACTGTATTTGAATAAGTGTAGATTGCTGTAGATGAAAAAAATTAAACATCCCCTGAAAATAAGCCCTAATGCATTTTTGGAGCAAAAATTAATATAAGTCAGTCTTATTTTCTTTTTTTTTTTTTGAGGGGAAACACAGTGGATCTACTGTATAAATTTGCACAATTAGCATGAATAAATTCCAGCTTACGGCTTGATGACCTTATAAAGTTTGCTTTTCTTATATAACAGAATTTATTATTTGGACTAAATTCATCTGAAAGGATACATTTTCACATTTCTTTGTTCTATTTCCAATTCTATAAATACCTTTTAGTTTTCTAATGCATTCTTGCATATACATTTCTAAAATTAATATTCACTATTTCCCATGTAAGGCCTAAACTCTAGCATTAAGAAAACTCTCAGTGCTTCAAGAGCACGTACCACAGGTCTAACCCTAATGAGTTTCGAAGTATCTAGACCTAGAATCCTACTCCACAACTGTGTCTATTCCATCCACTAGGCATAGACATCCAATCTCCAGGCCCCACAGGTCCATGCTTGTTCATTCATCCAGAAATCAGTCAAGAGTTTGGATGTGCCTATGTTGTCCTGCTTGTGTATGTAGCGTTCAGCCCTGCCCTCACCATATGTTGTCCTGCTTGTGTATGTAGTGTCACAGCTGAGCAGTGGAAAAGGAGCCAATGAGGGAATGCTCATTGCTAAAGGGAGAGGTGCTGGGATATAAAGGGGAGTGTATTGAGTATGAGAGGGAGTGTTGGAGATTTGTGAGTCTGTGAGAGAGTGAGCCAGAAAGTCAGTGAGAGTAGGGTTCTGTGTGTCAGTGAGTTCAGTGAGTGAGAGAAATTGATTAACAACTTGTAATTTATCTATTATATATTACTGATCAAATAAACAAGTTTAAGTTTCAAAGCAACACATGTCTCAGTAAATAATTGGTACTGAATTGATATTGGTGGCAGCAACTTGTGAAGAAGAGTGAGCACCTCCTGGAGGCCTGAGATAATAGAGGCTTCAGTGCGCTCACAACAGTGTAGACTTTTTATATCTAGTATATATTCAGAATATATGTGTCCGATTAAAAGAATAAGGTGACATAATCCCTCTCCAAGAGCTTGGATACGATACTTCTTTGGATAGTAGTCATGCTAGATATGTAATTCTGGGAGTGGTAATCCACACTGCCTGTTCTCCACATCCTACCCAAACCATCCCCTCACTCAATCAACCCTAAATGTTTTGGCATAAAGATTATGAACATTAACAAATTACGCCCTCAGCAATGTTCTCCCCATCTTTTAAAGCTTCAAACTTTTTTTGCTGCCTCTTTTATTTTCAAATAACTTTGTCGAGACATCTGCACAACACAAAGGAATCCTGAAATACGTTTCCTGTGATTCAAATAGTTTTCAAAAGGCTCCCATTTGTCATCTTCCGCTTTTGCTAGAATGAGACTAACATTCAACCCTGCTCACTCCAAGAATGCCGGCTGCAGGATGGGTAATTAAAGTGTGGTGTGTTTCATTTCCTGTTTCTAACTGGACCAAACAAGGTTTTCTTTTTAAAGTAATTTTCTAACACTACTGGTTAACCACTTGAAGACATAATGGGAACTAGTATAGTCTAACACATATGAGAATCTCAACTTAGTAATAAACACATAGCTTGGCTAAATGACATGAAAACAATCGTGTATTAGGCTTCCTACTGCATACATTCTCTGAGTCTATCTTATAGGGCTCTTTCAATAACAACTACATGAATAAATTCAAGTATTTATTACTGGGTTTTTTTTAAAAAAATATATCTTATGCAGCATCTTTTTGGAGACAACTTTATTCTATCTCAGTAAGAACTGCATGTGAGTCAGGAAAAGAGAGATTGTTTGTTATACCTGCATGTAGCCTGGGGACCTAGCTACTGAAGGAAACCTTTCTTGTGCCCTTCTCTGATGATTTACCAACTATCTCACAAAAATATTTGTAATTGTATTCTGCCCATTGAATACTTCATGGTTTTAGTTCCTCCTGCGATATTGTAGGGCTTTTTAAAACTGCCTATTTGTTGTTTAATTCCTTTTTTTAAAAGTATGTTTTTCATTAGCTGCCTGTTTTTATGTTAAATGCCTATTAAAACAAACCAACCCAGTAGGGGAAGGTATAAATGTCTTCAGTGACAATCAATCAATCAATTAGCTTGAAATTCACATCACTGCCATAAACCCCCTACGCCTCAATGTCTGCGCTATAAATTCAACGTGACATGCAGCCTACATATATGTAGGTCATTTCAACCACCCAGAGAATCCCCATCATCTCAGAGATGGCGCATGACAGCTACTTAACACGGAAGCTTCAGGACATTGAAGCTTTCGTATGCAGACAGGCAGCCGCAGGCCACAGAAGTTGAAGAAGCATTTAGTGGAGCTCAAACTGGGCCAGAACTTAGACCTGAAGCCTGCTTGCAAAAGAAAGCTGTGAGGTTATTCATGATTTCAATTTTTCACACAACAATCATAACTCTTGTTACGATAATGAAACACCCACCCTGCAGAATGCACAGGAGGGACAAAAGAGGGACCCATTTCCTGTAGCATCCTGGGATTTCCTTTCTAGGCCTCCTGCCCACACACTGATTCAACTTGATCCTGCTTAGCCTTCAAACGAGAGAGGATCAAAACCCACAAGGAAGTCGACTAATGGAGATTCCATTAATTAAATTAAAAACCTCTTTTGCTGCACTGAACAAAAAATTAAAGCCACAGCAAGCCCTCAAAACTTGCAAATGCATTTTTTTTACCTGCACAAGGAGTTCCAGCTTCCTGTCATCAAGGAGGTGCACTTGACACCTGCGGCCCTCTGTCATCTAGAGGAATAAGGAGAAGAAAGTTTAATTAATTTACAGACTTGGCAAACACTGCAAGCTGTTGTTCACAGGCTGAAATCTTTGCTGCTTAAAACACTGTTACAGCAAAGGATTTCCCCATTCACTATCCAGCCTTCTCTAGCACTGGCTGGCAGAAAAGGCAAGAAGCAGAAAATAAACAAACATATCGCCCTCACAGCTGCTACTGAATGGCACATGTTGCCTTGACTCTGGCTCAGCCCACAGAATGGGGATTGTTGTGGTGAGTGAAAGGAGTAAATAACAGAGGCCAGGACTCTGACAATAAATGAGGATGCACAGGGCATCCTTACTAGATGATTCCCGTAGTGTTTGTGGCAATATTAATGCAAGAATAACCTGAGACTAGTTCCAGGGCTACAGACAAGAACAGACACCAAAACAGGCAACGAGGTGCTCAGAATGGCTGGAATCAGTGGCTCATATTAGTGGGCATCTGCCACAGCCCCAGTCTTGACAGATGGCTGGAAGGCTCTCTGACAATACCCACAGCTGCCTAGTCCTGCTACTGTTAACTGCTCCTCCTCCTTGCCCTTGCCATTTGTTCACAATCTCTATCCTTGGAACCAAGAGTGAGAAACAAAGCAAGAAAGGGGAATGAGGACAAAGAGCAACAGCCACTCCTGCCCTGTGTTTCCCCTTTGTATGCCAAAGATTAAGATGAAAGGGAACCCATGTTGGCTCGGGGATTGTGGGAGGTACATCTTTAAAAAAAAATAACATTTTCCAGTTCTGGTCAAGGATCACATTCACTAAGACTTTTGCACTGTTCAGTAACAACAAATTCTTGCAGAAGATACAAATTAGTAATTTGACACATTTGTTCCTTATCCTTTCTCCAAGGACTTCAGGCTAGTGAACTCAATGTCATCTCATTTTATTTTTCAGAACATTTTCATCAGAGAGGTTAGACAAAGAGATGAGTTGCTTAAGACTATCTACACAATGACTATAACAGGGATTTTCAATTAACTATTGTTTCTAACCACAGGAATAGAGTTGTAAATTGTTATTATTCCCAATTTACAGCTGAAGAATCTATACTGCTCAGAAAATCTGTGTCTGAACGGTGACTTGAATCCCTGTCTTGCATGTCCAAACATGTCTTATTTGTTAGAGCTCTCTCACAGGATAGATCTGGCTTGGCAGAAAAATGCAGCAAAAGATGGAATGTTGCAGCTGATTGCACCTTGTAGAAGATGGACCTTGCCTTATTAAGAGAAAGTTTTGCAGAGGCGAAGTAGGTCATGTAAACCACTTAGATGCAGAAATCTTCTGTTCATTCAAAGTCTGTGCACTGTGGCTGGTATAGAACATTCTACTATATATGCCATATATAGTAGAACATGCCATATATATGGCAGAGAGAGCGACCCTTAGGTCACACTGGGTGCTAAGGTACATCACTTTAGGCCTTAGGGCAGGGGCCTAAATGTTAAAATACTCTTCCCGCCATTTATATGGCATGTTAAGAAGAATTTTCTACACCAGCCTTCTCCACAATGTACAGACTTCGAATGAACAGAGGCATTTCTGTATCAGCGGTCTTCCAGAACAACTGATTCCATCTCTTTGCACTCTTGGAGGCTATACAAACTAGCAACAGAGGCATCCTATGACACTGCTTTGTCTTTAATGAATGATTTTAGATAAGGTGACATGATTTATATCCCCTATCTGTTTCCCTGAAATTTTGAAATGCCCCATTTTGTAAGACTGCAGCAACAGAGAATATCTAGACTGCATCATACTTGTTTGCTTCCAGGCACATGGCTTGTAATTATTATTTGATCCTGTTGTACAACAGAGAAAAAGACAGACCACAAAATAAGAGATTATCTACAGCCGTAAAATGAATCCTTAGCTTCCTGGGTTGTTTGTAAACCCATGAAGGAATGTCACTGCTCCTTTCTATGGTCTACTGATGACAAAACCCAACTGTTGTGTCTGAGTCAGTGTATTCCATTGCACAGCAAAAGCAAATATGACCTCTTATCACACTGAGGCTCTGCATCTGACACCTTCAGGAATTTGCCAGTCCACATTAATGGCTGTGTTGTGCTGTTGCCCTTGGAATGTCTAAAGGGGCAAGTCCAAGAATCAGGCTCTGGCTTTTCTTATGGCCAGAGGGAAGGAAAGCAATGCTACAAATCAAAGGAAACACACATTAAATGGCAGTCTTTCCCAACCCGACACCTTCTATGTGTGTTAGACTACAACTTTCCTCATCTCCACTGACTGGGGATGGTAGGAAATGTGGCCTGTCACATCTCTAGGGCCCCAGACTGGGGAAGACTATTAAATAGTTGATTCGCCATTAAACAACCTTCCCTAGATGGTTCCTGAAAGTCCTCAATTTAAATGATGGCATTAGGAGATGAATGCATGAGTGGTCACTCAGTAAGAGAGAATAATTTCTCCCTTGCAAAACCAAAAAAAGGGAAGGAAGAGCAATCAAGTGAAGTTATCAATATGACCAGATAGTAAAGGTAAAGGTTCCCCTTGACAATTTTTGTCCAGTCGTGTCCGACTCTAGGGGGCGGCGCTCATCCCGCTCTTCAAGCCATAGAGCCAGCGTTTTTGTCCGAAGACAATCTTTCCGTGGTCACATGGCCAGTGTGATTTAGACACGGAACGCTGTTTACCTTCCCACCGAGGTGGTCCCTATTTATCTACTCGCATTTGCATGCTTTCGAACCGCTAGGTTGGCGGGAGCTGGGACAAGCGACGGGTGCTCATTCCGTTGCGTGGATTCGATCTTACGACTGCAGGATCTTCTGACCCTGCAGCACAGGCTTCTGCAGTTTAACCCACAGTGCCACCAGTGCCACCACAGGCGGGGTATAAATAGAATGAATGAATGAATGAATGAACGAATAAATGAATGAATAAATAAATAAATAAATATCCCAGCTTGTTAATAGCAGTTAAGCTGGGATAAAGACATGGGAAGCTGACCCTCATCACACCACAGTAATGCCTGCTCTGGCTGGCAGCAGCTATTCACAGGCTCGGACAATTTCAAAATTTGAGATGCTGTAAACTAAATCTGAGAGCTTCAGTGTGATATTAAACATATGACTGGATTTGCATACTATGTTTATTTCACTAATTAGCAGCTGTGGGTGTGGAAGGTATGCATGTTTATGAGGTCAACACACTAGTAGGGCTCTGCCTGGCTGCCTTGTCCCTGCCATGCTGTTCCTTACAGCTGTCATTTGCCCTGGCGAGAAAGCTATTATTGGTGCCACCAGAAGCTTCCCTCCCAATGCAAGTAACAAATGCGGGGAAGGAGAGCAGTTGGATAATATAGACAATGTGGACTAGGCTAGAAGAGATGACCGGAATCACCACATGCATTAGCCTCATGCATCTGCTATTTAAGAAAAGAACCATGTGTAATTGTCCAACCCAATCTATGCCTAGTAAGTCCTTCAGTTCTACCTTGATCTCATGGTTGCAAGCAGTCAAAAGAAAATTGTGGACAACATTCCCCAGGGTACGGGAAATGTTTGTGTGTGTATGTGTGCACACATATACATCAATATACACACACAAGTGTGTATATATGTGTGTGTGATGTATATTAACAACAACAAAAACAACAACAGTGTGCTGTCAAGTCAATTCTGACTTATGGAGACCCTTCTGAGGTATTTTGTTTGTTTGTTTAGGTAGAAAGTAACCAGAAGTGGTTGTTGTGGGTTTTTCAGGCTCTTTGGCCGTGTTCTGAAGGTTGTTCTTCCTAATGTTTTGCCAGTCTCTGTGGCCGGCATCTTCAGAGGACAGCACTCTGTGCTCTGTGCGTGTGATGATGCCGGCCACAGAGACTGGCGAAAGAGCCCGAAAAACCCACAACAACCATTAGATCTTGGCCGTGAAAGCCTTCATGAATACATTAACCAGAAGTGGTTTACCACTCCCTTCTGGGAGCACCATATGCAGCTTACCCATGGACATACATGCTGGCGCTGTTCACAGGAAGCACAGTGGCAAATTGAACTCCCAACCTCTGGCTCCACAGCGAGATACTGAGCTATCCAGCCAGCACATATACATACTTGACTCTGTATGTTGGACACACATCAACTTTATCTCTTTTTCTTTGGGACTTGCAATGGCACGTACACAGCATTCATTCACCCCAAGGGAAAGGAAATTTCTGTGAAAGGAAGTTACTTGCTTCCAGATCTTGGTCTGTTTGCATTAAAAAAGGATTTTCTAGTTAACTCTGACATCAGTGTAGAGCTTTAAATTTAATTTACGAACTGCTGGCCCAAATATTTATACAGTGAATTTCTAGGCTAAGGATCAGAGAGAGAAGAGGGCGATTGTTTCGTACTGCTCCATGAACCGTTTTGACAGCGGAGTGCCTGACACATTCATCTTCCCTGGAACTCCAACTGTGAGAAAGAAGAATCCAAAAAACAGTCCCCAGTGTACCCTGAGAAACATGAAGAATGTGCTTAGGAGAATCCCAGCTGCAGGCCAGTCTCTTACTAAAAGCTCATTTATGTGAACTATGATCTGTGATTCTGGATACAGCAGACACAAGAGAGCTTAGTTTGTATGTGTATGCACATTTTTTAAAAATAGCAGTAGCAGCAGCAGCAAACATATCTGTTCAATACCACATCTCAGACAAAATGTTCATCAGGATGCCTGCCTGAAATAATCACCCCTATAAAATATCTCAAATGAACAAAACACAAATGTTGTTTATCATGACAACTCTAGAGATTTCCATGGCACATTTTGCTCCCTCATGAGAGAAAGAGATTAAATTACTGTAAAGAGATTTTTTTCCATATACCAGTTTTAAAAAATATGATGTGAAGAATCATAATTACTGAAGGGTTATAAAAACTTTCAACTCCTCTTTCCCACCCCCATGAAAGGTACTCTCTCTTCCAAAAATTACTTGGATAATCTAAATTGGCTCTAATTTTATTCTTATTTAA